GCTCTAACTTTCATTGTGGCTTAGTACTGGAGGTCTTAGTTGCAGCTTGGTTTCTGACCCTCACTTGGCTCGGTTTTGGCTTGGTTTGGAGGCTCGATTTTGGTTTGAAATGGCTAGAACTTTAATTTTTTTTTTTTTATGAAAGCCTGAAGTTTCATATTGCTGGGCTTGGTTTTAATCTTGTTGGGCTCGGTTTTGGCTTTTAGTCCCTGCTGGGCTCTGCTTTGGCTTGATTTGGAGTCCCGATTTTGGGTTTGAAATGGTTGAATCTTTAATGTTTTATGAGAGTCTGGATTTTAATATTGTTTGGGCTCGGTTTTGGGCCTCGAATGGCTCGGTTTGGTTTTAGTTAGAAGCTGTGTTTATTTTGTTTGGCCCTTACCCGAGGGATGATTTGGAGGTGTGTTTGCTGTCTTTGGTCCCTACCCGAGAGGTGGCTTTGCTGATTTTAATTCCTACCCGAGAAATGGCTTGGTTCTTTTTTATTCTTGTTGGTCTCGGCTCTTACCCGAGAGCCTGTTTTGGGCGTGCTGTGTTGTCTCCATTCGAAGGCTGTTATTTGGTTTTGATGGATTAATTTGGTAGTTTATGAGGCCACAATTTGATGTTTGCTTGGTGCCTAGACGTGGGTTTGTGATGTGGTTGAATCAACCTCCCCTTTTGGTTCTTACCCGTGAGGCCTATTGTAGATCATTGGGTGTGATTTGGTCCTTCTTGCTAGGCTTGATTGGCTTGAATGTTGTAAATGAATCAAGTTTGTCATCCCAAAAATTATAATTACTTTAGTTATCCTCTTATGTTTTCCAAGAGGACATTGTAGCCATTGGTGGTTCTTTTGTTTGCCTTAGTCGTGAGCCCCTTTATGCTCTGGGTTGCTGTATCCATGGGTCTTATTTGTGCTTTGGGTTGCCTCTGGCCGTGGGTTGTTGCAGCTGCTCTTTGCTGCCTTAAACCGTGAGCTTTGACAGCTCTTTTCTGGGCCATTTGTTGCCTTAACTATAAGCCTTACTTCTTGTCTTTTAGACTGCCTTTGGTTATGGAGCTTGGTAGCCATTCCTTGCTCTAGTCGTGAACCCCTACTGTCCCCGTTCCTTCCCCGTTCCGAGAGCCTTGTTGGCTGTTTTCTCTTCTCTGCTGACCCTGGCCGTGAGCATCTATGTGATTTTATGGGCACCGTGAGCATCTATGTGAAGCATCTATGTGATTTTATGGGCAAATTTTGTGCTTATTTGATGCATGAGGTTATCTATTAATTTAAAAAGTTGGAGAATTTTGAGTTCAGCATAAGTTTGGAAATATTAATGGTGGTTTCCCCGAGGTCACTTTCTTTTGAAGTTTGGGAGATTTTAAACCTCATTTTGGAAAAGCACTTGGTGGACTTGATCAATCCTATGTCTTTGGGGTTTGGGAAATTTAGCGCGAGCTTACCCTTTATGTTTGTTAGTAAAGACATCGGACCCTACTTTTCCAGGTTTTTTCGATACGAGTTTTGAGAACTGATCCAATCTCATTTTCGGTGTTTTAAATGGATCAGTGTCTCCTCTCTCTCACCCTATTTTTTGTTCTTTTCTTTCTTTGCTTCTTGGATCGGTTTTCGATGCTTGTGTCCGATGCATAAGTGTCCACGTATAGCCTTTTGCTATACGTGAAACCATCAAGCAAGGTCGCAAGTAGTCGTTTTGGGGCGTACGGTGTTGATGATAAAGGCACACCGAAGATAGAGCAGAA